AACACTCACATTTTCCCGGGGACCTTTAACAAGGACAGGTGCCTCGGCCATCCTCAGAGATACAGCCGTAATTGGTCTGGGGGTGGAGTCCAGTCAGCACCTATCTTTAAAGCAGAGAAGTCCCTTTCATTTGGGCACTGGGTTAGGAAGACGATGCGTAATGCAGTGATGTTGAGGAGGAAGAAGCTTTAGGGATTCACAGGTAAGGCGAGGCACACTGAGGCACTTTGAGTGCACAGTATATTCCCAGTAACCCCACTGGGTGTTATCTGCCTTGAAATCCTATTTCGAAGTAACTCAGTTATTTTTAAGAAGTTAAATAATTATTTAGGTTTTTTCCTTAAGCCCTTTCCTTCTTTTAGTCCTTACCTCCTCAGGTAATTTCAGCTATAATTAAACATGAGCCAAAAGAATTTCTTGTTAGAATTTTCAAAATCATGTACATGTCCAGGTCTTGGGGGTGGGCACACTGTTTTTGTAAATTAAGTGTTGTTGGCACACAGCCACACTGTTTACTCATGTATCATCTGTGGCTGCTCTCGTGTGACGATGGCAGAGCTGAGTTGTTGGTGCCGAGATCACACGGCCTCAAGCCTAACTTAGTTATTGTCTGGCCCTTGGAGAAAAAATTGCTGACTCTTGGTCTAGATAATCAAGATGAATTCAGGATATTAAAACCATTTTTAGTTATTATTAAAATAGATGACATGTGAGCTGGTGTGTGTCTGAAAATTGATTTTAAATTCTTTTTTCTCCCCCTTTAAATACAGATGATTCACCTCCAGCAGAGAGGGAACCAGGAGAAGTTGTGGACAGCCTGGTAGGCAAACAGGTGGAATATGCCAAAGAAGATGGCTCCAAGAGGACTGGCATGGTCATCCATCAGGTGGAGGCCAAGCCGTCGGTCTACTTCATCAAGTTTGATGATGATTTCCATATTTATGTCTACGATTTGGTGAAAACATCCTAGATGTCATCACGAACTTTGCCAAATTTGTGGAACTATTAAATGTATAATTTGTAGACATAAAGACTTGATTGCTTTCCAGTTTAATGAAAGCTTAAATGTCCCTGCGAACCCACAATCTCTGCCAGCAGAACTGGTTTTGTTCTGAGTAGTACAGATTTATGTGACCACAAAGCATTTTGTGTAAGGAGCTCCTTCCTCTTAAAGGAAGTCTATCTGTCTGGAGGGGAGTTACAGGCAAGTTTGGTCAAAGTTAAGCTAGTATCATAGTCATTTAAAACTGTAATGGATCTTATCCATTTTCCCTTCACTCTTAACACTCTTAGTCTGCTGCCACAATGCAAGCATAGTTTGGTATTTTTGTTATTGCCTTTTTTGAGATATATATGTATCTATATCTATATCTGTGTGTATATATATATAATATATATATGCACACCCATAGATCTGCGTACACACACACGCACGCGCACACACACACACACACACTTCATTGGCAGTCCTTTCTTTGTGGATTGGGACAGGGGTTAAATAATTTTCTCCAGTTTAACAGGAGTGCTTGACCCAAGTGAGTCATATTAGTATCTTACTGCTCTTTATTTAAGATTGAATTCGGGCACAGGAAGCGCACAGGGACGTGGACGTTCAGCTTGTTCTGAAGATCAGAACTTCAGAGCGCCTTTCAGTCTGGAGGCTGTAAACCAGGTGTCCAAACAAGACTCGCTTGTGAACATGACTGACCCGCCTTAGAATTTGACAGGATGGTTAGAAATCTGGGTAAAAGGCTGCCTTTAATTCTAAGCTTTGTAAGTTTTTTGTTTACATTTTTTGTTACCATAAATGCTTTCTTTCTCCAATCCCAGGTCCTTGGTCCCCGCAGTGTGAGGCCACCGGTGTGTTTTGGACCGCACATTTGGTCCTTGGTTTGCACACATCAGTAATCTGGGGCTTCGCACACGGATTTAAAGGCAACAGAGCGTCAGTGGTTTGTGCCTGTGTGCTAAGTTCCTGGAAGAACACTGCGTTTCTATTTGAAATGTCCTTTTAAGAGTGGCGTTGTTGCTTCCTAATGAGTTCTCTGGGACGCTGTTACTCTCGTGACTGTTAATTACTGATGTAGGATTATGGTCAGAAGGCTTTTCCACACAGATACAGAGACAGATACCAGCTGAGGTCTGACACCTGTGTGGTGCTGTCCGCTCTGGCTCAGGTGTTGGGGTGGGTGTGTTCCATTCAGTGGACCTGCCACGTTGGGGTCAGTTGCCTGCGCCAGCTCGTGGGTGTGAGTGATAGCAGCCCTTAGCTACTGAAGCCTTTCGTGGCGCATTCCTGCAGGGTTGTTTTAACTGAAATAGAACTGTAAAAGTGGTTGGTTTAGCAGTGGACCAGCCATCTGTCGCTTTGCTTTGGGTGAGCCTGGCGGTCTGAAAGCTAGGAGAAAGGTGGATGTGGGACCCATCTCCGTGGAGGCTGGAGAGCTTACCTGAGATGTGGGCAGAAGGCTAAACGCACATGCTGTCAGTCAGACCCTGGAGGGCCAGCCCGCTCTGTCGGGGCTGCTCTTGATGTAGAGACTGTGCCATTTCATGGCCTCACTGTGCGTGGTTTGTGCAGTGCCCAGTTTCACCTTCAGGAAAGCTGTGCCTTCTCGTGTTGGATGTAACCCTGCACACAGTGTAAATACAGCACCGCATTCTCTGCAGTGTGCCCAGTGCCTCACCACAGCCAGCCAGGGGTGACCTTCTCCCTGCAGCCAGTCCCCAGGTCTTAGATGCCCCTCCCTGCCTGAACAGCATCATGCCACAGATCTGTCCCTTGTCTTCCTGGTGATTCTCGTAAGAGTTGCTGCGTGTAAATCTCCAGGCCGAGCCTGGCTCCCTGAGCCCCAGCAGACGTGCGGCCCAGAGAGGGAGCGTGTCCAGCGCGCTGACTGTGCGCACATGGCACAGTGACTTTGGGCTAAAAAACACAGTACTTTGGCAGTTTCCTGAGGTTGGGTCAGGGGACACATTTCCAGCATTACTTAATGACTTGCATTGTGGTTTTCCTGCAAGTACTTTTAGCAACTTTAATACCATGTGATCTGCCACTCTAGATAAATGTGACATGGGATTATTATTTGTATCATTATTTTAATCGTCGTTCCATGTATTGTTTTTAGGGCTGAAGGAAGGGGAAGGGGTTATTTTTGTTTTCTAATTTTTTTCATTCTTTTTTCTTTTGGTGGCTTAAACCACACTTAATGATGCTGTGACTACTTCTGCTCCCTAGCCGAGTGTTCAGGCTTCGTTTTAGGCTCATGTTTCAGATCTGCATGCGTTGCTTGCATTTTCCTGGTACCTGAATGTTGGTTCCTTGTTCTAGGAATCCAACATCAATTTCCAAAATTATCATGGGACTTGTGACAACACAAGACATGAATCTCTGTATAAAACGTATTGGCCTTCCTCATTGACCTGCTATAGTATTACTGTGTCGTGTGTGCGTGTGTGATGTCCGGCTGCCACGTAACCTTCAGAGGAAAACCTTCAAAGCAGACCATCCTTTTGCATGCTCTATTCTAAGTAGAATGTTCAATGTAACTAACTGAACTTGCATGTTAAAGATATTTAGGTTTTTTGTTTTCTCTCTTTGTTTTTGTTTGTTTTCAGTTTTCTGTGTATTTGCTTACTGTGCTGTTCAGTGGTTGTAGGATACAATGCACTGGTGAAGCGGTGTCGTGCCATGAGGGTGGTTCTCCAGTTGTCTGTCATGCAGCATTTGAAGGGACTGTGGTTCTTCACGCAGTCAGTACTTCCAAACCAGACTGCATTTCTGTTGTTTCACGTGCCAAACCCCGAAGTGCATTGGGCTTGAATCTCTGAACGCTGTGGACCCATCAGAAGACTGTTTTGATTGTCACAAATTGTAGTGCCTGAAAACATTCTTAAGCTGATTGTCTTAACAAAAAAAAAAGTTCTCCAAAGACAAAACAGGAACGGTTATTAGAACAAAACAGCGATGGTGGAAACGTCTGTGGTTCCTTGAAATGCTGCGCTTTCTGTACTTTCCATCATTAGTGCAGTTCGAACGAATGTGTCTAGTTCAGAGGTCTTCGTGTTCGCATTTTAAAATTAGGTAAATGACCTCATCTCTCAAGCTTGAATTCGTTTTTAATTTTATTTTATACAGTGTGTAGACGGTCCCCTGTTCTCTGCATTTAGAAGTATAAACAATATAAATCTGTTAATTCTGTAAGTAATTTTTATAATTATGATGTAACTCTATCCTATCCTTAAAACATTTAAAATAAACCCTTTATGTGCAACTTTTGACTGTAAATTTTGTGCTCATGAGCAAAATGTGATGTGTTAAACCTGCTTCTTAAAACAGTTTCTAAAGTTTTACTTTAAGATTTAAGTGACTTTTTTCCCCTTTCACCACATGTAAATGTCAGATATACATAGAAACAGAAAGAAAGAGAGTTTTATTTGAGTGATAATATTTAGTCATACCTGAAAGGAGACGGGCAGGAATCAGCATCCCGAATGTGTAGTGAGAGAGACTGAAGCTGTGATTTGCCATTAATGAGAAACTTTAATTTATCATAAAATTTTAAGCTTAAAAGAATTGTTTGAAATAGAATTAAATAATGTGTATTTTATACTTCACATCTTTTCTTGCTCTGTATATTGCCTATGATGCTTTTATTAATACTTGAATGCCAGCCGAGATTCTGTGTGCAAACGCCCATTCCTCAGTGGCAGGGACAAGGACATGTAGGGGTTGCTTTGAGCTGTGTGTGCTCTGTCCTATCTTCCTGGGCAGTTGTTACCAGTGAGGTAAAAAATAGAGTTTATGATATGCCTTTAAGTAGGGTTTTGTTTGTTTTTTTTAAAACATTGGCACCTGAGCTAACAACTTTTGCCGATCTTCTTTTTTTTCCCTGCTTTTTCTCCCCAAAGCCCCCTAGTACGTGGTTGTATATTTTTAGTTGTGGGTTCTTCTGGTTGTGACATGTGGGATGCCGCCTCAGTGTGGCCTAATGAGTGGTGCCATGTCCACACCCAGGATACGAACCAGCGAAACTCTGGGCCTCTGAAGCAGAGCGCACGAACTTAACCACTCAGCCACGGGGCCGGCCCCCTAGGTTTGTTTCTTTTTATGTTTCCCTGGTGCATTTGGCCCAAGGATCCCCTGGCCAAGGCTAGGTAGGACAGGAGAAGTCACCTCTGCCACCTGCCAGGGCGTGACCCAGGGAGGCCGGTCTTGTGTGGCGGCTGCAGTGGCCGAGGGACAATGGCCGGGGGACACAGGGCTGGCCTCTCAGCCCTGGCAGGAGGAGCTGCAGACAGGTGTCGGGTGGAGATGACGGGAAGCCCAGGGCTGCCTGGGCCAGGTCCCACCGTCCACTTCCCACCAGTCAGGTGGTGGTTGTGGCATTGAAGGTAAGCCCAGGAGACACTTTCCCCCAGAATGACCAAGCAGGATGAGTGTGTGGGTTGGCGGCTGCTGGCTCCTGTCTGTAACTGACGCCTGGCGTCTGGGTGAAGGATCCTCACTGGGGGGATTGCGGATGGGCTGTCCCTCCTTGTCCTTAGTGCCACGGGGCTCAGTGACCATGGAAGCCCTCCACCACACAGCGCCCACAGAGGCTTGCGAAGTGCCCTGTCAAGCACTTTCCACGCACTCCCTCGCTTAATTCTTAACCCTATGAGGAGGGCACGACCTCTCCATGTTGTCCAGTGCCGAAGGCATGGGGTGAGCCTCTGGTCCAGGATCGCAGAGGCCTGCAGGCCCCGGCCCTCAGCTGTGCGCAGGCTCCGAGCTGCCGCGTTCACGTCTCGGAATTGAGCCGCCTCGGCCAAGCCATCCTGCTGATCTGTCGTCTGGTAATTTCTGTGGGCAATTTTTTGTAACCTTATTTCATAAGTTGTTAGCAGAAAGTGTTTTCTTATTTCTGCATGGCATAATAAAAGGTTTTATGTTACTCACTAGAATGTAGGAATCTATGTTTCTGTATAGTAGGAATTGGAACCCAAGGTTACTTTTTCCCTGAAAAAAATATATTTTGGAGAGAAATGATGTTGAAAAACTTTAAATAATTTTATCACAAGAATGTGGATACTATTTTATATTTCAAAGACACTTTGCACATTGTTAAGTTAATATTCTTTAAAAACCTAGACTTCTTCTGCCCCTAGTATACAATCTCATCCCTAGTTCTGTGCTGATTGGTTTGTCCTGTGTCACATGTTTGTAAGTGTTCAGACTGCCGAGCCTCACAATGTGGTGAGTCTTCAAATTATTTCTCCAGACATTCTTAGATAGTCTCTGTCTGCCTTTATATTAGCCACAAAACTCTCAGTTTTGGTAACTCGGTGACAGACAGTTTTTGGGGATTGCTTTGGCACACAGCATTTTGCCTAAAAGTGACATTGCGTTCTTTCTGCTTAATTTTCATGAGAGAGCACAGGACCTGGTGGTGCACTGACCTGGCAGCTGTGGCGGTGGTGACACTAAGTGTGGGCCCTTCCCATGCGTTTCTTTGTCAGCTGGCTGTCACCAGGAGGTGAGTCGGCGGCCGCTTGCCATGTAGGCACGTGCCCGCCTCCGCTTTTCTCTTCATCCTGTCATCACTTTCAGTCTGTGCTTTGGGGATTCGTGCTCTGGGAGAACAGAAGAGCCCCGAGAGCACGCCGACTGCCGCAGGTCCTCTGGAGGGCCAGCACTTCAAGTGGGCCTTCACAGCCCTGTGTCGCCATGTCGGAGCCGCTGAAGCAGACTACGATGTGCTGAGGGCAGGAGGAGGAAGGCTTTCACAACCCGGTGTCAACGTCGAGAGTTATCAACAAGGGCCAGCCTGGTGGCATAGTGGTTAAGTTCGGTGCGTTGGGTTTTCAGGTTCAGCTCTTGGGTGCGGACCTACACCATTCATCAGCCATGCTGTGCTCAGCCCTATAAAGTGGAGGAAGATTGGCACAGATATTAGCTGAGGGAGAATCTTCCTCAGGCAAAAAATAAAGTTAACAACTCAAGGTTGAAATTCAGCATTCTGAATTGTTTCACATACACATTGCAAAGAGAGCTTTAAAGCTTTTCCCTTGAATTTGCCTCCTAAAGGATTTGTAAGAAATCTGGTAGCTGCTGCCACAGTGCTGTGCGTACGCCTGTGAAGGGCTGTGGGCATTCCCATTAGAAACCGAGGATAGGGGCCCTGAGGAACGGGCCTCTGTCCTGAAAGTGGTACTTGGGCAGGGACTGTGTTTGCTCCGTGCATGTCTGTTCCTCACTGGGAGTCTGGCTTTTGCTCAATGTTGCTTTGAGTTGTCCTGTAAGGCTGTGGTCAAGTGGTTTTAACCACTGGGTTTGTGTCTTAATTTACCCCAGGCCTGATTTGTCACACTAGGAAGCATCAGATTGTGGTCGTTTTCAGAACAGTCCTGCAGGGGAAGGCGGTGTGTTACGGATGGGAAAACATGTCTGCTGGGATGGAGTCTGTGGGCCAGGATCTGTTGTCATGTTCCGTGTCGTGTTGTCCACCCCCTCCCCCTCACCCCCACTCGAGTGCCTGTCTGAGCAGCTCGCAGGGAGGAGCGCATCCTTGCGCAGGAAACTGCATTCATCACCAAATGTCCCTTTGTTTAAGTCACACACATTTGTAAGAAACACAGAAATGCCTCAGCCATTGCCACTGGCCCTTTTTTTTTAACTTGGCAATTGTATTTCTAACCAGGGTTGGGCCGTGATGAACATGCAGGTGGCAGCCCACTGGGAGTGTTTCATGGTATTGCTGTGCGCAGTGTGTATCAGTCAGCTCCGGCTGCTGTGACAAATGCCACTGGCTGGGCAGCTTGAGTAACAGAATTTATTCTCTCTGTTTGGAGGCTGAAAATTCCAGGTCGAGGCTGGTTTCTCGCCTGGGCTCGTAGGCGCTCATCCCATCCCTGTGTCCTCACACGGTTGTCCCTCTGTGTGTGTGTGTGTCCTGATCTTATGAGGTCACCAGTCACATCAGATCGGGGCCCACCCATATGACCTCATTTTAACTTAATTACCTCTTCAAAGGCCCCATCTCCACATAAAGTCACATTGTGAGGTACCAGGGGTTAGGGCTCCAACAGATGAATTTGGGGAATACAGTTCAGCCCACAGCACCATATTAGAATTTATTTGGCCTTTCTTACTGTTAACCTGTAAGTGGGAAAGCAGTCTTGTTGGCATTATTCTTGACAAACTAATTATTTTTAAAAGGATGCTAATGCTCTGTTTGCTATAAAAGGAGTGGATAGATCCAGTGTAGGAAGAGAGCCTGGGAAGGTGAGCGGATTGCTGGTTCTTGATCTCCTTGCCCACTGCCTCTCGCTGCTCTCTCGGGTTGTTGACGGAACACTCTCACTTGTTCTCCTTGTCTGTGAGTGGCGAGACTCTGCCCTGCTCTCTCAGAAGATGCCTGTGCATCTCCAGGGAGATGTGGACCTGGGCCTGACACAGGGACGTGTCACCTTCGTGCTGGCATTTCACAGGGCCTTGTGCCGGCGGCAGCTTCGTCATTTCAGGCTGTGACACATTTGCTTTGGATTTCTGAGATCGCACTCGGAGTTCCACCTTGTTGGTTTCACTGTCAGGACGTCAGTCAGGATGGTTTCCGTTTCAGTGTTTTCTGGAACGCTGGCATCTCGCAGCGCATGCCGACGTTTGTGCAGGAGGTGCTGTTGAAGGTTCGTGGGAGCTTCCACCGCTTGTTTTTTTAAGATTTTATTTTTCCTTTTTCTCTTCAAAGCCCCCCCCGGTACATAGTTGTATATTTTAGTTGTGGGTCCTTCCAGTTGTGGCATGTGGGACGCCACCTCAGCATTGCCTGATGAGCAGTGCCATGTCCGCGCCCAGGATCCAAACCAGTGAAATCCTGGGCCGCCAAAGCAGAGCGCACGAACTTAACCACTCGGCCACGGGGCCCGCCCTCACCTCCCTGTTGTTAAATTTCCGGTATGGATTTTTAACATTGGTCCCCACAGTCTTTGTTTCTGAGGGAAGCAAGCTGCTTTATTTAAACTGCCACAGAATCTCATTCTAGTTTAACGTGTGCTCCAAGGAAGTAACCGTCCAGATGGCCAGAGAACGGTGACCGAGGCGGGTGCACACGTACCGTCGCCATGTTGTTCCAGAGGGCGCCCGGCAGAGCGGAGGGCTGGGTGCCGAGGCGCCTTCTGTCCTCCTGAGAAGGCATGATGGCGGGCTGCCTTCCTCGGAGCAGGTGATGGGCTTGGGACATGCTAGGCCCACCTGGAAACTGCGGCTGGCCTCATTAAGCTTGAGTGAGGGTTCAGATGCGAGTGTCTTCCAGGTCTTTGTTGTAGTTTATGAACCAGTCAGTTCTAACCGAACTCAGCTTGAATGCTGTTGAGATAGTAGCACAAATGTATGTTTTCTTCTAGTAGATTTTGTAAATGTGGGTATATACAATAATTCATAAGGCACCTGAAATCTTTTATGGGACAAAATTGGTATAAATAGTTGTTTTGTCGTTGAAAGTTCTTTGTCCTATAATTGTGAATTTTGAAGCTGTTCCGTAGAAGACTGCTCTTCGTTCCCAGGTCACTGTAGATCCGTCTGGTGTACCGCCACCTCAGAGAGATGGTTAACTAAGGTGGGTCCCAAAGCTTGCGGTCATCGTTAGATGATTCCAGCTTGCCACTAGGTGAAGTTATAAGACGGTTATGACGTGGGGAGTTGGGGGTGCTGGGGCGGGCTTCACAAGGCCTGATAGAACTAGCCTGGGCACGTGTTTCGGAGGCTGGTCTCTGTTCTCTATTTTAAAACTGTCTCTGTGCCTCAGTTTCTTTCCTTGCATGATTTTTTTTTAAACATCTGCAAACTCCTAATTTGTTTATCCAGAATAATACCTGTTTAAAGAAAATTCCTGTTTCTTTACAGCACTTAGGAAAGAGTAACTTGTTTTTGCAAAAATGTCCCTGAGAATTACTCTCAATAAGTGATGGCCATATTGCATATAAAACTAGAAGATGATTTGGAAGGCCAGCCAGCTTGTGTTTCTCCTGAATATTCCTGTGTCACAGGCTTTCCTCTGCTCCCCTGGGTCAGCGAGGGGCCTGATCCCAGCAGTGACATCTGGGCTTTGGATGGTTACCGTGGAGCTGGTGATGGCATTTGTTGCTAACCAGTGTCCTGCCCGCTGAGCCACGCTCCATGGAGGAGCTCGTGACTGCCGTTTAGGCGTTTTAATTCTCCATAAATCAGAGAGCAGTGTGGTGTTGCTTTGAGAAAGACAGCACAGAAAGTGTGGTACAAACTGCAGCTTTTCTCAGTTTACTGTCATCGTTCTCCCAGCTGACCGTTAGCTGACATCTCGGAACCCGCCAGGCTCTTCCGCTTAGCATCCTGCGGGGGCGGCTTCCTGTGGGCAGCGGTGCAGACGCATCGGATCAGCTGGGCTGTGCCCAGGACCTCGCCGGCTCAGCGTTACACCTGCTGCCTCTCAGCTTGGACGTGCGCACTATCCTGTAGTGTCATCATGAGTGGCAAGGTGGCCTTTCAAGTTGTTTCCTTATCATCAGGGAAATCCAAAGCCTTTTTCCTAGTTCTCTGTCTTTATAATTTAAGGTTTCCTAAAGTTTTGTCACGTGTTTTCCTAACCTTTAAAGACAGCTCTGCTTACAGTGTCGGGCTGGAACATGGGGCGAGGTGCTGGGTGTGGTTTTGGGTGAACACCCATCATAGCGGGAGCCGGGTGAGTTACCTGATAGCCAAGGCTCTGTTCCTCACCGCTGCCTCCTCTGAAGAGAGACCAGCTTTACCTTTCTCATGGGTATTACAGGGTTTAGTGGATTTCAAAAAAGTTTAAGGATTTTTGGAAAGAAATTATTAAAATGGGACTTTTGTAAACCAAAGCATTTTAATGTTTTCCTTACACTGTGGAAAGAATCTTACATTTGACTGAAAAGTAAGTTAGAAATTTTTCAAAATTGATTTGAGAGGCCTTTGTAATCAACCAGTTTATTCTGAGGTTAATTGTTAATTTTTCTAAGAAAATGAAGTTCCTTTTTATAACTAACTGTATTACCAAAATTCCTTTCTATTTTGTGAAAACTGTAGTGTTTATGAATTTAAATTGTCATCATACCTTTGTTAAGGATCCTTATTAAGGATCATGTTAGTATAATTTTGTGCTTGATTTATTTACTTTGCATGATCTTTAAAAGGAACATTTTAAGAATCTTGTGTCATGAATTTTTTCAGATGGTTACGTACTAGTTCACTGGGAAACGCAGACTAGGGTATCCTTTGAGAAAGTTCTGGGTTTGAGTGGCTTTGAGAGGAAAATCTCCAGCAGGGGATGAAAGCACCTAATTGAAGAACGGAGTCCGTGGTCCATGCAGCGCCTGGGGCACCTTGAGGCATCAGGAGAAGCGCTCTGCGCAGACTCCTCGCAGGTGCCCCCGTGTCCCTCTGTGGCTCTCTGCATTGCACTGTCCTCAGCCTCAGAGTGCCTGCAGGATGTCCATGAAGCTGAGCCCTGACCCAGGTGGAGTCAGGAGGCACCCCCAGCTGCACTGGCCGCCTCCACCAGGGGCTCTCTTACTGCACAGCATGTCCATAACTCTGTGATTGGTGTCACAGGCCAGCTGAGAGCTGGTGCTGTCACCTGTTAACAGCCTCTGTGAAGTCTGGGGAGCAGGCAGGCCTGGTGGCCAATGGCAAGTGTGGTCCCCGGTGAAATGATGGTGTCCTGTCAGCCGAATGCTGAGCCCACACTCCAACTTGAGAACTGCCCCCGAGGCCCCTGCTGCCCAGCTCCCCTCAGGCTGCTTCCTGAAAGGGGAGAGTGTGCAGCGGAAGAACGCTGTTCCTGTCGTGCATGCTTAGGAGGCCCACAAAGAGAAGGGCATCGCAGACAGAAGACCAAATCGGAATCCCAGGTAACCCTGCGGGTCGTGCCTCAGGCTCGGCCCTGCCTGGCTTGGCGATTGTAGGGTTTTCCCTGGAGTCAGGAGCACTTCCCTCGTTTAACATGGAATTCCTTCTCTGAGTGATACCCAGGAGGCGGCAGGGTCTGCTTCCGCTCCTCCCTTATCACTGCACATTGGTGACCGGGGCTTGCAGGGGACAGTGCAGTGACCAGCCCAGCAGCCGGTGGCCGAGCAGGCACCAGGTGACGTGATGACTCGTTGCTGACATGCCGTTTTCTCTTGCACAGGTTCGCCCCAGTCTTTTCATACCTTTCTGTCCCTTTCCTGTCAACAGTTAACACGCTTTGTGAAAAGGAGACTGAAAATGGTCTCTGATGAGCCCAAATAAGCCCTTCTGGAAAATGCAGTTGCTACAGGTGGCTTTTTGTATGCGTTTTCCTCAGTGTCTGACCTTGTGCTTGTAGCTCACCATTACATTACATCATCTGGGGTAGAAGGGAATTAAAGAGCCAAGAAATAGGAATCTCTTGCACCTTAATTTTGTTAATCGTCAGGAATGGGTGGTCCTTAGGGATGAGCGGTAAGAACGAGAAATCGTGCTGCACATCCACCTCAGGCTGCTGTCTCTCCTGCTGGTGAGACTCAGCCACGTGGTCGTCTGGGTAGGTGTTCGGAGTCCAGGCTCTGTGCAGACTGAACTGGGCCAGGGGCTGTGGTCTCCGGTCACCCCTCCCCTCCCTGGGTGATGCGTGCTCGCTCGAGGGAGACTCCCGCCTGGGATCTGGGGCAGCGAGACGTCGGGAGCTTGTGTATTTGTGAGGCTGTATCGGGGTGCTTCTAATGCCCATGACCTGAATCTTCCTCTGTTTTAAACCTTTAGGTTATGTTTTATATCAGCGTGAGCATCTTATTCTTGAAGACTTTGGAACCGATGAAACAATCATAGGTGTTGCCCTGGGAGTTCTGCGCATCTGTTTCCAGGTTGCTCGCATCGTCGGTACACGGCTTTGCTGTGTCCCTCGTCCGTGAGCCAGCCTGCTAGTTCCTCCTCTGATCTCAGCCTGGTGACGCTTGCCGGTTCTTGGCCATAAGTGACTTCCTGATAGAAAAGGACCCTCAGGCTTCAGTATCCAGCGGAGTTGGCAGCTCTGTCAGAAACGGAACTGAGGTCACTTTGAGACTACCTGCATTCTCTTCCTGGAAGGACACCCGGCAATAGGTGTGAAACAAAACAAGAAGCAGCCTGCAGGACAGGAAGTCGCTGCACCAGAATGGTTTTCGCCTGCAGGATGTGCTCTTCCTCTCACATGTCAGTTTTGGGAAATGGATTGATTCATTTTATAACTTTGGAAGATACTTATTCTTTGTTACAAGAAACAACTACTTTATTATAGGAACAAAATAATAGTATTTCATAACAGTTCATTTGTCATGTACCCTTGGAGTTTCTCTCGATAACCAGCATAGCTGTGTTTCTCACAGAATTCACGTTTGTCATTAAGAGGCTGGAACTCGGTCTACACACCATCTGAATTGTGACCTGGGGGCGTGTTTGCCTGGCCTCATGCTGGCCACATCCCTGTTTCCTTTCCAGATCGCTCGCGTTAGTCTGATTACCGGGCTGTGTGCATGGACAGACAGCGCACACTGACTATGTTTGGTGTTACTTTTCAGAACCTGAGCTACAGAGCTTGAGTTGGCTAATTGATAAGCTGTGTTTTATATTACATTCCTTGTACCTTCCTGGAAAGGAATTTGACCTTTGCAAAAACTATGATAAGTGATCATTAAAGAGGTGTTTGTAAAATAAATTGAATATCACTTCCTAATAAGTGTTAATCACAACACAGTGTGTCAAAATTTATGGAATGCAGCTAAACAGTGCTTGGAGGGAAATTTATAGCGGTAAATACCTCTGTTCAGAAGATCTCAAATCAAAAGTGTAAGCATCCACCTTAGAAATCTAGAAGAAGAAGAGCAAAATAAATCCAAAGCAAACCAAAGGAAAGAAAGAATAAAGGTTAGTATGGAAGTAAGTGAAATAGGAAGCAAAAACTGAAGAAAAAGCAATAGTTGGATCTTTGAAAAGATCAAGTTTGGCAAACTTTTAGCTACACTGACCAAGAAAGAAAGAGAAGACACAAACTGCCAATATCAGGATGAGAGGAGACATTATTACCAACCTTACAGAAGTTAAAGGAATTGTAAGGAAATACTATGAGCAACTTTATGCCAACACATTGGACAATTCAGGTGAAATGGACACATTGTAGAAACACAGAAATTACCAAAACTTAGTCAAAAAGAAATGCATTTTTTTTTTGAGGAAGATTAGCCCTGAATTAACATCAGCTGCCACTCTTCCTCCTGTTTTTTTTTGCTCAGGAAGACTGGCCCTGAGCTAACATCCGTGTGCATCTTCTGCTTCTTTTTAAATTGGGGCACCTACTACAGCATGCCTTGACGAGCGGTGTGTAGGTCTGCACCTGGGATCTGAACCCGCAAACCCCAGGCCACTGACGTGGAATGTGCAAACTTAACTGCTGTGCCACTGGGCCGGCCTCTGCAAAATTTTAATAGGCCTGTAACAAAGAAATTGGACTAGAAACTAGATTCTTCCTACAGAATAAAGCCCAGGGTCAGATGGCTTCACTGGTGAATGGTACCAAATATTTAAAGAAGAAATAATACCAGTTTTTCCCAGACTCAGGAAATAGAGGAGGAGGGAATGCTTAGCAGCTGTGCAGTGTGGTGCCCGTTACCCCACTAGCAGAGCCAGACAAACAGAAGGATGCTGCAGATCAGTATACCTCACGAATGCAGAAACAGAAATCTGCAACAGGGGCTGGCCCCATGGCATAGTGGCGAAAAGTTTGACATGCTCTGTTTCAGTGGCCTGGGGTTTGTGGGTTTGGATTCTGGGTGTGGACCTACACCATTTGTCAGCAGCCATGCTGTGGCAGCGACCCACATAGAAAATAGAGGAAGACTGGCCCAGATCTTAGCTCAGGGCCAATCTTCCTCACCAAAAAAAACCAAAACATATATATATTTTGGAGAACTTACACTCCCAGATTTCAAAACTTACTATAAATCTACACTAATCAAGATAGCATGATACTGGTATAAGGATGTGTCTAGATTGATCGATCAATTGGTCTATCTCAGTGGAACAGTTGAGTACAGTTGAGTCCTGAAGTTAACCCTTACATTCATGGTCATTTGCTTTTCTTCATAGGTACCAAGACAGTTCAGTGGAGAGAAGATTGTCCTTTTAACAAATGAGGCTGGAAGAATTGGATATCCACATGCAATAAGATGATTTTAGACCCTTCGTTATATACAAAAATTAACTCAAAATGGATCATACACCAGAATGTAAGAGCTAAAACTATAAAACTTAGAAGAAAAAATCATAGACAAGAATCTTCAGGACCCTGGGATTGGCAAACGTTTCTTATATATGATGCTAAAAGCACAATCATAGAAGAGAAAGTTGATAAGTTAGACCTCATCAAAATTAAAATCTGTGTGTGTCATAAGCCACTTCAAGGAAATGAGAAAACTAGCCACAGACTGGAGAAAATATTTGTGAATCATACTGATAAAGGATTGCTATCCAGAGTATATAAAGAATGCTTTAACAAGCAGACGACTCATGTAAAAAATGTGCAAAGGACTTGAATAGACATTTCTCTAAAGAAGATAGACAAGTGGCCAATTGACACATGAAAACTTGCTCCCCATCCTCTGGAAGTTAAAGGGAAACGTCACTTAAAGTGGAGTCGGGAGGCCAGAAGGGGGAGCTCCCACTCAGTACCACTCAAGGTCAGTTACAGGAAAGACGGTCAGTTACGGGTCACAACAGAAAGAAATGTCCATTACAGGAAGAAATGTCTGGTGCATCCCAAACAGAAATCGACAACCCCAGCAACTCAGCCAACGAGAAGCCGCCGTTACCCTGAGCTCTCGCTTTCCTCCAATGGACTTTGATGCGAAAGCGCCGCTCCCAGCTTCCTCCTTTTTCTCGATAAAATAGCGTTCCTCTCCCTTGTTGGGTTTGCCTGTGGTCCACCACAGTGTACACATCCTCAGTTACAATTCTTTGGCTATTCCTGAATAAACTTGTTTTGCTGGTAAAATAACTGTCTGTTTTATTTGTAAGGTTGACAATCCTTAGTCATTAGGGAAATGAAAATTAAAATTGAGATGCCACTTCCCACCCCCTAGAAGGACTGGGAGCCAAGGAGGGGTGATGACGGACGTTGGTGAGGATGTGAAGAGACTGGAGCTGCCCCTTTGGGTAACAGTGTAGCAGTTTCTTAAAAGGTTGAAGTATAAACTTGCCATGTGACCCAGGTTCCTAAGAATAAACACTGAAGAATTGAAAAGATATGTCTGCAGAAAACTTGTAAACTGGTGCTTGTCCCATTATTCACAATAGCCCCAGCGCCCGTCAGCCGGCGAGTGGATGAACACACCGTGGTACGTGCACACACTGCAACACTGCAGAGGGCGCAAGGCCTGAGCTGGTCCACGCTCCAAGAGAGCCTCAGAGACACGCGACGTGCAACGCGCCGGATGGAAGAGACCACGTGCTGTGTGACCCCGTTGATGTGAGAAGTCCTGAGAGGCAGGCCAGGGAGAGAAAGTTCATTACTGGTTTTGGGGGTGGGGGGCTGGGGCTGGGAATGGAGACCAGCTGCCGGAGGACACTTGGGGTGTTTCTGAGTGAGGTAAATGGTCAAAATTAGATGATGGTGATGGTGGTACAACTCTGAACTTAGTAAAACGAATGCTTCTCTTAAAATCGGTTTTCTGATAGTATGTAAGTATACCCCAGGAGAGCTGTTAGCAGCCCCCTGAGGTGAGACCGGAACTCTCGAGGAGGACAGGTGGGACAGGGTTTCTGGTTCTAGATTTGGGCTGGGCCCCAAGAGTCTGTTTCCGACAGCCCCCTGGGCGGGTGGGGGCCGTGGCCTGCACTGCCAGGTAGTGTGTTGATGTGCCCTGGGAGGAGGCGGGTGGCTGGGGGTTGTGACCTCCACCAGCAGGTCCGTCCTTGTGCTGTGGTCCACTGCTGGGGTGTAGTGTTGGGCTAAAGTAATGAAAAACTAGTTTCTCAGGAAAATAAGTGGTGGGAACCAGAAGGTTGTAAGGAGGAGAGTGTCAGAGTGGAGTGGATCCTCGTGGAGAGGCAGAGCGGAGGCTGCAGCGCATGAGGAGCTGGGCGGACACGTGTGGCCTGCGTGGGGCCTGAGGGCGCCCGTGGCGCTGCTGTTGCTGGGCCAGTCCGAGCTGAGAGGCCTGCGGGTTGACCAGAAGCTCAAGGGAGCCCCTTCGCCCGGGCAGCCCCTTCTGACGCTGCCCGTCTGTGATTCTGCGGCCACCAAGAGGGGCTCAGGAAGAGGGCCAGCCTGTGGGAAAGCAGCGCCGGGAGAGGCCAGCAGCCCCGGAAGGGAGTGAAAAGCCAGAAACGGGAAGAACAGCACAGCAGCAGCCGGGTGTGAGACCTCGTGCACTCCACTCTCCCTCCCGAAAGCTCCTTCCCCGTGCCGTCTGCTTGGCCTTGGCTGGGAGTCCAGCGTGAGCTCGGCCGGCCGCGCGCCTCATGGGGGTGGACACGTCGGGGTTGGACCCGGGTCACCCAGGCTGGGCCGAGAGCTCTTCTTGCCCCTCTCGGGGGTCTCACCACGACCTCCCTCCCTCCGGACGCAGCCCACTGCAGTGAGGAGTCTTCGAGAGTGCACCTCGGCTGGCACGCTCCCCTGTGCGGTGCACGCCCGAGTATCAGCCGCCCCGCGTGCACGGGGCTGTGGAAGCCGCCTCGGTGGGGGCGGTGTTGGCACACACAGGTGGCCGCGTGAGGGGCCAGGGCAGCGCTCGACGCGGGTGCACGTGTCGTCCCGTGGGGTTTTGTGAAAGCAGTTTGAGAATAAATGGGTACGGAGGCAGTCCTACAAGGCGGCCCACCTCCAGGACCAGTTCGTGTGGGAGAGTGTGGGAGGCCCGCGCGGCTGGCGGGCGGTGTCCCTGCCACAGGAGGAGGGGAGGCCCGGCACCGTCCCTCCTGGCTGCCTCCTTCCCGGGCGAAGGTGGACACACTGAGGGGGCGTGCGGACAAAGTCTCTGCTCCTCGTGCTGAGGCCCCCTTCTTGAGGGTCCTAGATAAACACTTCAGGGGGAAGATGGCCTGAGGGCCGAGTGACAGGCCGGAGGGCTGCGCAGGCACGGGCTGGCGAGGGGTGGCCTGGAGCTATGGGGTGGGAGTCCTCGGTTCCCGACGTCCGCTCCTGACAGAGGCCATGCTGGGTACATTGCATTAGCTTTGCTGCAGTTTTGCACCTAATGACTTCCACCTGTGTGCTGACCTTCGCGGTCTCTTTGCATCAGGTGCCAGTTGTGCAGTGGAGGGTGTTCTCGCTCCAGGTCATGACTTGGAACGCTTGCCCCATTGGGGGTTTTGCATGTTCTTTGCGAGGTGCCCCAGCTGCTACTGTTTCTGTGGACTGAACGTCGTTTGCACCAGTTAGCAGTCAGTCAGCACCACTCCAGCCTCGACCTTTCCGGCAGTGACCACCGGTGCCCCGGGTCCTCCTGGGCTGGGGCATGCTGGCTCCTCGGACATCCAGGCGGGAAGGGTGGCAGGATCTGACATGAAGGGAAGAGGTGCGCCCGGACTCTGGTGGGGCTTGCTTTCCGTTCTCACATGGCCACGTCTATTGGGGAGGGCAGCTCGAGGTCACGCCAGCCCCACGTTCTGCCCTGAGAGCTGTGTGTCCCTGAGGCCTGGGCACGCATTCAAAAACCCGCAGTGTTCCATGAAAAT